AAAAGATGGTGGGGCTCATTAATAATTAGAGAAATGCCAAACCACAAAAGTACTTTGTGCTCACCAAAATGGAAAAACCTAAAAAGGCAGGACCATACCAACTGTCAGTGAGGATGCGTAACAATGGTGGCTCTCATTCGACTCTGGTGGAAACACAGATTGGCCCAACGGCTTTGGGAAAGAATTTGGCATTGTTTAGTGAAGCTGAAGATGTACACGTCCTATGTCCTGCAATTCCATTGCAAGGCATTATCTAGAGAAACTCTCACACATGTGCAAAGGGAGATAAGCATAAGAATGTGGACAACAGCATTATCTGAGAAGCAAAATGTTATAAACAACCAAATGTTTCTCACTGAGCAAGTGGACAAATTGTGATATATTCACATAATAAAATACATACTATACGGATAAAAAGTTGAGGGAACTAGAACTACCAATGCCAAGCAGTCCTAAGTGAATAAAGTCAGAAGAAGACTCTTAGACACGGCACAAGGCCATTTCTTTACATTTGAAAATCATATACCTCTTACTATCTGTTGTTCATGGATGCACAGGTATGTATGGAAGATTTTTAAAAGAGAAGCAAGGGAATATAAAATGCTATTAAGGAGTGTAATGTCCTTTGGGGACAAAAAAGGTAAAAGGAATTAAAAATGGGTCCACAGATTTGACTATAGTTGCAGTGTTTTTTTTTTTCTAAAATTTGAAAATGGGAAATTGGCTGTTCACTTATTATTCTCCCCATCCTTTATTTCCCAAACAAATCTGGTCCTTAAATGCACAAAATTCAAGGTTATTTTTCCCATAATTATTGGTTTAAGACAAAATGTGCCTGGCTTTTTTTCTTATATTTTTTTTCTTTAAAAAATAAATTCTAAAATAATATAATGAACCCTGGTGAACCCATCATCCAATCCGAGGACTGGAAAAATTAGCGACAATTTATATCTATCTATGAGTTCCTCTCCTATCCTGTTCCCTGCCCCTTCTCCATTCCTGGAGGAAAACCCTCCCTGAATTGAGAGTGTATTGTTGCCTTGTTTTAAAATTCTGTTATCACATATATATATATTTGCAAGCCTGAAGAACATTTTGTCGCAATTTGTGTTGGGATTTTATAAAAAGCATATCCTATGGCATGTGGTTCCCTGGAAATCAACTTCTCTCCCACTCAACATTTTGCCCCCTCTGGCTCCTCTGAGCCTTGTTCCTGCCAGGTGCCTCTCCCAACCCAGCATGGCACCTCTGCTCTGCCACCTGACTGCAGGGCTGGAGTGGGGGCGGGTGTGTGCTTCCAATCAGGCGACCCACAGTCGATGGAGTCCTTGTTCCCCCATG